TAGTTAATTAGGCATATACATAGCGTAGTTTGTTAAGTTTGGAATTTATCAGTTTTATTGTGCAATTAATGTTTTGTTTTGTTATATATTTTTTACTGTACAAAAATTAATGAAGACAGTTTATGCATTTACCGATTTTTTATTTTAATAACAGCAAGCCGGTTTTTCAAAATTTGGCAGCCCGCCTCTAATCTAACCTGACACAAAAGTCATACTTTATTATCAACAAATGATCCTCTATTTTAGTAGTCTTTACTTAAGCATCTAAAAGGTATCAAAATCTGTTTGTGCAAAAGAGTTTTAAATTGTAAAAATCTCAAATTTTTCTTGGAGATTTTAGCTGTTGTTAATTTGCAGAAATAAAAAAAAAGTTATGTGTTAAAGTAGGAAAATCTATAAATTTGTTTCTAATAAAATATATTGTCATTGATCTTAAAGAATTCTTTAATACAAAGTTTACATGCCGTTTTACTAGACTGGTCAACAACTTTATTTATACTTGTTGATTATAAAAAATAAATTATTACAGTTTTTTAAATGAACAATTTTTTTATTTTGGTAACAATTTTTAGCAAAGAATTTTATATCACTTTTGGCTGGTAGCAAATAATAGTTTGTATAAGCCAAATCATTATCCCGCTTGATTGTTCCTCTTGTGTATTTAGGATCTAATTGTATACCTTTAGTCCTACATACCTTGAAATTGCAATCAAGATCTTTCAATTTGTACTTTAATTCATTGTTCTACAATATTCTATCCAATCATTCCAGTCTTTTTGGGCATTTGCAAATTCAGTTCTAGCTTTTAGATACTTCTGAAAAATGAAAAGGTTTTTTCAGACTGCGCTAAAGCTTAAATGTCCTTTCAGGACAATTAAGCTTTAGCGCAGAAAAATGTATTTAGAAAATGGTTAGGGTTAGGGTTAGACCTTGTTTATGTACATTGAAATTTCTTAATAAGGCTTAAAATAACCAGATGATAAGTGATTATTATGATTAATTTGCTTTCCGAATTCTCTGGGGTCTTTTATATTTAAAGCTAATTTAAAAGTTATATTAAACTAATTATGGTGATATAATCATTACCAAACTTTTTGCATTTTTTTTAATTGTCAATTTCAAGACTATGAAATTTGAGATATTGCTATCAATATATTGATGTTGTATCGTTATCGATATATTGATATCGTATTGTTATTGATATATTTAAATCGTAATATTTAGAGACATGGAAAAGTTTTTTAATGATTAGCTTTGTTGAACGGATACTTTTTAACATGATAAATTATTTTTCTGTCGGTGAAAATACATGTTTTGTGTTGTCTTTCGACTTTATGTTCTGTTTCTAAAGTACTGCCTTAAGTTAGTTGTTCGATTATTTGACATATAAATGACTTGTTTATATTTTGTTGCAATTTCTTTTTTTTTGACTCCTCTTTTATAATCTTTTAAAACACAAACTGGAAGAGCTGAATTAAACTTGTTTTCTACCATTATAAAATGCAAAACAGCATGAATTTGTGGTCTCAAGTTAATATTATAATGATTGCAACACTTTATTTTTCTCTCTGGACAATAATTATTAGTTATTTGATTCTCATTAGATAAGTAATAATGATTAGAGCACGAAAATTTTCTTAGGCATTGTTTCTATATGAAGGAATTCTTTTGATTTGAATGAGTTTTTTAAGAGTAGTTATACAAAAGTTGCTATTATTTTTTGAACCACATTTTTGCATTATGATAACAATAGAAGTAAAATAACACTTTTAGTCATTTTTAAGTAGGCTTATTATATACAATTCTTTATTCTTACATATATATATATATATATCTGTCCCTGGTAGTATCGCGTTCAATTTGTTTCTCTGCTTAGCGGCTTTGTTCGTCAAGGTTTGTGTTTCGGATGTATAGAGTTGAGAGAGGGTTATAACCACAAGTAGCCTCCTCATCTGTAGTGGCCTTCTTGGCCTTGGAAAAGTGAATTACAAAACAATATATATATATATATATATATATATATATATATATATATATATATATATATATATATATATATATATATATATATATATATATATATATATATATATATATATATTATATATATATATATATATATATATATATATATATATTATATATATATATATATATATATATATATATATATATATATATATATATATATATATATATATATATATATATATATATATATATATATAAAAGCGGTTTGATTATCTCTAACAAACTTGATTTTTTTTTAAAAGGATTACATTTTTTTAAAAAACATTTTTAAAGCATTGAATTTCACAGGGGTAACAAATTAGAGTTTTGTTTTTCTTTCTGATTTTATTCACATTTTTTTTTTAATTTCTTTATAAAGAATGAGGAGAGAAAAAAAAAACATCATCATTTCAAAACTAGATATAATTTTCTTATTTATTGCTGTTGGCAGTGTACATAGTAAATAACTATTTTTTAAAATGGTGTATCTTTTATGATGAATTTGCAATCATTTTTCATCATTAAACCATGACAATGTTCTTATCATAAATTACCACCTTAGATGCTAAGTATAAAATATGCCAACTGTTTTTTTAATTTAAAAAAAAAACCTTTTTTTAAATTAAAAAAACAAAAATGAAACCTTTGCTCCGATTGACAAAAAGTAACAACCTGAAATGATATCAACTACAACAAAAATGACAATCTTTAAAATCGCTAAACCAATATCTTTTTGTAACTAAAGTTACTTAACAATATTTTTTAACAGCTTATAACTTACTTTTATTAATTTACTTTTAATGAAACCGTTATTTATTAGATGTATTTTAGTAATTTTTTTTTATTTTTTAGTTTTTTTACCTGAAAAAAATTCTGAAAAAAAATTATTATGCCAGACTACTGGCCATTTGTTGTTGCTTAAAGCCAATAAACATTAAAATTAGAATAAATTTTAAACTAGCTGTTTTAGAGCACATTTAATTGCACATTTTTATATTTTGCTTTCTCAAAGTATTTTGTATTTAAAAAACTTTTGTAATGAGTATTTTGTATTTTATACCTCTGCTTGAATATATATAAATAATATATATTATTTGGTTATGTATTATATAAAATAATACAAAACTCTTGTACAAAAAAGGCTCGATATTATTGTAAAAGAGCGATATATATTTTTAATTTAACTGAAGAAAAAGTACTCGATATTATGGTAAAGGAGCGATATATATATATTTTTAATTTAATTGAAGAACAACAACATTTTAATAGTACTTTAAGTTTCGTGTCTTTCGGCAATCATCAGCTATTTAATTACAAATCAAAAACGTAAATTAACATTTTAAAAAAACGAATCAAAGTTTTACGGTAGAACGAGTTCTAACATAATTTACAAAGACGCAATTAATTAATCTCCAGTATCAAACAAAGATAACAGAAATTTATTTATATGTTAACATTTAGATAATATTTTGTCTTTTTTATTAAGCAGGTTGTTTCCATGGAAAGATAAAATTTCTAATTTCTCATAAAGGCAAAGTTTGCAGGTCCTTGTCTCTGATTTATAAGTTTTACAACGCTTTACAACTTTCCACTTTATAATAGCCACTGCACATTTTTCTTTTAAACTCCAAATTTCTTTTGAAAGTTGATGACAATTTTTTTATTTGATTGCATTAAAAGATTTTAAATGATTTGAGTATATGAGCTTAATAAGTGTCTCACTGATACCAAAATATATTTTTTCCTTAAGATCTGGATCATTAGAACACACAGTGGCATGGTAAACAATGTTACTTACTAAACATTGGTTGCTTAATAGATAAGCAGTTTTAGTAATACAGTTGCATATTTTTGTAGTCATTTTTCTTTGACTTTGTAAAATCTTGTGGTTGTGTGAAATAATGATGGATTTTATATTCTGCATGCAGCTATAACTAACATTGATCGAATTTCTATTAAATATCTTGATAGTTTGTGATTCACAGGGAAATGTAAGTCCACCAATGCTAATTAAACGATTTCCTATTTTTGTTTCTACATTTAGAATGAAGGGAGGGTTGTACCATATAATATTTTGGTTGCAAATTTTATTTTCAGGTGATGTAACCTAATGTAAATATATATATATATATATATATATATATATATATAATATATATATATATATATATATATATATATATATATATATATATATAAATATATATATATATATTATATATATATATAGATATATATATATATATATATATATATATATATATATTATATATATATATATATATATATATATATATATATATATATATACATATATATATATATATATATATATATATATATATATATATATATTATATATATATATATTATATATATATATATATATATATATAAACTGTTTCACACCTCAACAACAGACGACCAACTTAGAATTATAAAATATTGCTAAGAAACCCTCCTCTAGTACAACAACAACACCTAGATAAAAAAACTTAATCATGAAAGTTTTGATGTTACAATGTGCAACTATAATGGCACTGAAATTCGTAAACTTGTCTAAGTTCTAAGTAATCTAAGGGGTCTAAGTAATCAAGGAACTCCTATCCGATATATTTATAAAAACTGAAAAAGGCTCTATTAAGTTAATTTTAGTTTAACCAAAATTAATATTTTTAATTTAACAAATTAAAGTAAATAGTTACTATACTGAAATTAACTTGCAAATTGTTCTATTATTTAAAAAAAAGTGATTTTGATATGCACAGAGTTGGTTAGACTATGATACTCTTTATTTTATTATATAATACTACAAAGTATTAACATAATTGTTATATAATAATAATGCAGTATTAATAACTTAAAATGTTTAAAACATATTAAATTTGTTATAACAAATTCTATATTAAAAACTTATGCATTTAAAAAGTTTTGCACTTAAAAAAATTATGCATTATAAAAAAATTATCGACACTTTGTTTTGTTTACAGGACCAACAGCCTTAACTAAAACTCCAATATCTAAACAAACTAGTTCTTCGATAGCTAAAGTAACAAAAACAGTTTCTCCAACAGGTTTAGTTTTACTTTTTGTTTTAGTTTGCTTTGTAATACATTTACTTTCATGTATTTTTGCGACACTGAGTTAGATAATGATGATGATAATCATTATGATAATGATGGTTATGATGTTGAAGATGATGATTATGATGATGATGATGATCAAGATGATGATCATGATGACAATAATGATGATCATGACGATCATGATAGTGATGATTTTATGAACTATTGGGTACATCTTTGATCTGAAATAATTTTTGCAGTCCTTACTTTGAACTTTTGAGAAAAATTTATATATAATTAAATATAATGTTTTCAGTTATAAATAAACTACTATATGTGCTTTATAATTTTTTTTCATGAGGTTAGAATGGACCTCATAAACTTTTTTGATTGCTAAACTATGGTATTTTATTACTTATTGAATAAAAATAATTGATTAAACAAGTTATACATTGTTTTTTGTTTACAGCATCAACAGCCTTATCAAAGGTTCTAATATCTAGCACAATTAATGCTCCAATAACAACAATCACAACTACAACAGTTTCTACAACAGGTTTTTTCATATAATTTTTGTGTTAATTCACTTGTTTTGTAATTTGTCTATTATATGTTTATATGTAAACTCCTTAAAGTAGTTTATATTTATGTTTTAGTAATAGTCGCAGCAGTCTACATATCTAAAATGCTATGAATTACTCATATAACATATATTCCATTATATTAAATTTTTTTGTAGCGAGTATACGTAACTGTGCGGTTGGTTGGTTAGAATATGAAGATCATTGCTACCTTTTTAATAAAAGAGCTAATGGAAAAACTTGGATTGATGCCCAGTTATCATGTCAGAGTTATGGAGGAAATTTGTTAAGTTTAGCAGATCAAGCAGAAAATTCATTTATTCGAAGATATACTGGCCCTGCATCTCGTTTATATGAAGACTATTGGATAGGT